CAATCATTGTTAAGCTTGAGCCTTGCTGTTGCCACTGTACTCCAATTTGTGTTCTTTTAAAAAATAAATAAGAAGAAATAATATAGGTATGTGTTGTTGTTCTGTGCAGCCGAGTTGATTCTAACTCATTGAGACTCAAAAGGTCAGAGTAGGCCTGCCCCATAGGAATTCTTAGGTCTTAGGTCTTTATAGTCAGCAGTTCCAGCTCACCAGTTGCTCCTTGGAAACTCCTGTACATGGTCGCTATGAGTCGGAACTGACTCCACGGCACATCACCACCACCACCTGTCTTTATGGGAGCAGATTGGCAAGTCTTTTCTCCCACCAAGTGGGTTCTAACCATGACCTTTCTGTTTGCAGCAAGTGCTTTAAGCATTGTACGACCAGAGTGCTGTCTTCTTGTGGGGTCCATCTATCTATCTATCTATCTATCTATCTATCTATCTATCATCTATCATTGTTGTCCAGTGGGTTCCAACCTACAGCTACCCTGTATAAGGTTTCTTGGATTGCCTGGTGGGTTTGAACTGCTGACCTTAGTGTTCAAACCAACCTTGCAGTCCAGTGCTTATCCTACAATGCAACACCAGGATTCCATATATGTTGTTTTTGTTAATTGCCATCAAGTCATTTTGACTCACAGTGACCCTGTATAGGGCCTCCAAGGAGCGGCTTATGGGTTTGAATGGCCAGTCTTGATGTTAGCACTCAACACAACGCCAGGATTCCATAGCCACCCACATTCATTCATAAAGATGTTACTACTCATTTCAAGCATTCAGTGATTATATCACAAGAAATTGAAAATATACAGCATTCACCCATAAAGATATTGCTGCTAATTAAGAACATTAAGATATTACACATACATGTATACTTATAACACATATCTTAATGCTCATAAACAAGTAGCAATATCTATATAGGTGAATGTTGTATATTTTCAATTTCTTATGGTATATTTGCTAAATGCTTGAAATGAGTAGCAACATCTGTATGAGTGTGTGTTGGTGTGTGGGTGTATTTTCAATTTCTTGTCCTGGTGTGGTGCTGCGGGTTAATGCACTGCACTGCAAGGTCAGTACGAACCACAAGGTCAGTGGATCAAGTTCACCAGCTGCTCCTCAGAAACCCTATACAGGGTTGCTATGAATTGGAACCATGTCGATGGCACTTCACAACAACAACAAATAGTGGAACAGACTAGTCTGACAACAGTGTTGTTTTTCAAGGTCTGCATTTGTCACAAGTCCCACATCCCCAAACAGAGCTTAGCAAGTAGAGAAAATCCAATTAATTAAATTCCTTCAAAAGTTCCACATGGAAAGCAATTAACACTGATCCCATGGTAGCTGTGGAAAAAGCACTCGACACCAAGGTTCGTTTGAATTGCAAGATTGGTGGTTCAAACTCACCAGAGGCTCCTTGGAAACCCATACAAGATCAAATTGTGCTCACAAGGAACCTGTACATCAACTAACAGGCAGTTGTTGGAACAAAACATGGGAACACTGAATGGTTTAAAATTAAGAAAGGTATGTGACAGGGTTGTATTCTTTCATTATACTTATTCAACCTGTATGCTGAGCAAATAATCCGAGAAACTGGATTATATGAAGAAAAATATGGCATCAGAATTGGAGGAAGACTCATTAACAGCGTGCGATACACAGATTATACAACCTGACTTTCTGAAAGTGAAGAGGACTTAAAATACTGAAGAAGATCAAAAACCACAGCCTTTGGTATGGATTGCATTTCAATGTAAAGAAAACAAAAATCCTTATCAATGGAGAAATGATTGAAGTTGTCAAAGACTTTATTTTACTTGGGTCAACCATCAACACTCACGGAAGCAGCAGTCAAGAAATCAAATGACATGTTGCATTAGGCAAATCTGCTGCACAAGACCTTCTTAAAATGTTGAAGAGCAAAGATGTCAGCCTGAGGACTAAGGTGGGCCTGACCAAAGCCATGGTATTTTCAATAACCTCATATGTATGAAAAAGTTGGACAGTGAACAAGGAAGATGTAGAAGAACTGATGTTTTTGAGCTGTGGTGTTGGAGGAGAATATTGAAATTGCCATGGACTGCCAAAAGAACCAACAGATCTGTGTTGGAAGAAGTACAGCCAGAGTGCTCCTTGGAGCCCAGGATGGCCAAACTTCATCTCTCATACTTCAGACATATTGTCAGGAGGGACAAGTCGCTGGAGAAGGTGATCATGTTTGGTAAGGTGGAGGGTCAGAGAAAAAGAGGAAGACACCCCGCCCCAGAGAGATGGATTGGCAAAGTGGCAGCATCAATGGGCTCAAGTGTGGCAAAAATTGTGAGGTTGGCCCAGGACCAGGCAGTTTCGTTCCATTGTGCATAGGGTCGCTATGAGTCGGAACCGATTCGATGGCATTTAATGACAACAACGTGTGTCGGAACCGAGTGGACGGCACTTAACAATAACAAGGATGAAGAAAACTGAGAAAATAGTGATTCAAAATGTGCACAAATATCCCTGATGGCACAAGTGGGCTGTTGAACTCACCAGTGCCTTCTAGAGAGAACAGACTACCTAGCCATCTGTTTCTATAAAGGTTGTTGTTAAGCGCAGTCGAGTGAGTTCCGACTCACAGGAACCCTGTTACACGGTTTCCGATGAGTGGCTGGTGGCTTTGAAAAAGCGACCTTGCAGCTCAAAGTGACCTTGTGGTCTAGCGCATTATCCTACAGCACCACATCAGGACTCCTTATAAAAGTTGCTGTTGTAGTTTAGTGCCATCGAGTCGATTCCGACTCACAGCGACCCTATACAGGGTTTTCGAGGAGCAGCTGGTGAGCTTGAACCACCCTAGAAAATCCTATGGACAATTCTAGTCT